TGTGCGGTTTGTAAAAAAAAAAAAAAAAAAAAAAAACGATTACCTTTCCATCATATTTATTCCATTGTTCTTTCCCATCATTACCCATCAGCCGTTCACAATTGCCATCCTCAGGCAAAGTAAGTGCCATATGGCATTACTGTGCCTGACATACATCTCCGCACCACAGATGCCTCATTCAACGTAGAGGAGGCCTGGTGTAAAGAGTGTAAAGTGACAGGATTTCTCTAGGCTACTATGTCTGAGATGCAAAGAGGCAATTTCACAAACCTTCCCTCCAAGAGTAGTACATGCTGTCAGTTCATCAGTGTCAAAATCTTTGGCATTCGAGTACACACTTGAACACACGCACTTCACTGCAACCAATAACATCTATTGTCCTAACTAGTGGAAGTATCGCTCTGATCTGTTAACAATATACAGTTCAACTGAGTAAAAGCAATCAGATCAAGAGGTTAAAAGAGCTTGATGTGGTAACGAGAGGGAGTTTTGCCTCAATGATGGATAAAATCACTATTCATGGTAGTTTAAATCGAACCAATCTATTGGAAATTTCACTCTGCCTTTTGGATGTTCCTACAGTAACAAAAACAGAAAAGGGTAAAAGATTATCCCCCAAAAATATAAATCATCATGCCTTCAATCATATGTAATCCTGTGCAATATTTACGCATGTACAACTCATTTGCTTTCCATCCGGGATCTTCCCAACACACTCTACAAAATCAAGTAGTTAATTCAAGCCAACGCAACCCCAGCAGGCTGCACAAAACCAAACGCTAAGCCTGGCATAAATTACAGATCGCCACGTTTCCATGGTAAGAAGAACACCATCCCTCCGGGAGATCAAGATGTCCATGAAGAGGCGATCCATGTGTAACTTCTCACCATTTACATGTTTCTTTTACAAAGTTCTGTTCAGTTTACAAGTTTCACTCTGAGCTTTAAAGAAAAGAGTTGAGAGAGGAAAGGCAAGCAGAGCAAGCCCGCCGTTCACGCAGGTGCTGTAGAGCAGAGAAAAGCCAAGTCTCAAGAATCACATCAGATAGTTAAAGCCAGGCTCACTCAAGGCCAGACTGATTAATCTGACCACAAGTGTTGATGCTTGTTATTTGTTTTTGTTCCTTTGTGTCTTTCTCTCAATCCACTCATCAGAAAATATATGCTCCTGCAAGGGGGTATTGTCTCCTAAAAACATGAAGCAGAGAAAATATACACTTAAAATATTAAGTTACTCACCCTCAGCTCAGCCAAGACATAGATGAGTTTGTTTCATAAGAATGAATTTCAAGAAATGTAGCATTACATCACTTGCTCACCAATGGATCCTCTGCAGTGAATGGGAATGAATTAACTGATTGAGTGGAGTCGTGTGGATTACTTGTGGTTTATCGTGATGTAGACTCTAATTCTCACGGCACCCATTCACTGCAGAAGATCCATTGGTGAGCAAGTGATCTAATGCTAAATTTTTCAAAATCTGTTCAGATGAAAAAACAAACTCCTCTACATCTTGGATGGCCTAAGGTTGAGTACATTTTCAGCAAATTCCTTTTAAGGAATCATTCATTTAAAAATGTTCAAAAACTTGTATGGGTTTCTTTCTTCTGTGGAACACAAAATATGATATTTTGAAATATTTTAGTGTCCATACACAATCATAGTCAATGGGGTATAGGGTTAAACACAGTTGAAACATTGTTCAAAATATTTTATTTTCTACAGAATAAAAGGTCATACAGGTTTGGAACAATATAAAGGTGAGTGACATGACATTTGAATAAATGTAACTTATTTTAACATTTTTAACAAAGAAAACTACTTGAATAACCAAACTCACCTGAGTCAAAGTGTCACTGCACGTGAAGACATGAATCAATCAAAAGGATGCTCAGGGCAGCATGGCTTCACTTTGCTCCATGTGTCAATGCAGCTATTTAGAGAAATATCAGCCATTACATATTTGAAAGCAATATTATATATGATATTTGCATATCATTGCTCTTTTGTTGATTTTGATTGCTTCCATTGTCCTCACTTTGTAAGTCGCTTTGGATAAAAGCATCTGCTAAATGTAAATCCTGACTATTATTATTTGGATTTAGGATTGTTATGGTTACCTCTTATGGTAGACACACAGGCAGGCCAGTCGAGCAATGGTTTCCCCTTGTAGCAGGTCTTCGAGACAGATTGAACACTCTCCACTGTCCTTAGCTAGCACATCAGCTGTTGGACAAGATAAGAGAATTAACAACCAAGTTATTAGCAGATGAAAGAAAAACAACAATAAAAACAAATGGGATGCTTACTGTTATAAGGGAGAGGTGGAGAAGTCAGACAACTTAGAAGATGGTCCTCTATTCGCCCTCCAGGGAATGGCTTGGTGCAGAAGGGACACCGAATAGCTGGAAAGGAGGGGAAAACAATCAAGCAAGTTGTCTAGCATTGTAAAATGGAGACGTAGAAAGGGTTTTGTGATATGCAGGCCAGTCACAGTAATAGACGGGGGAGTATGCGCCCATGTGGCCCACTTTTCTGAACCTTCTGGCTGGACTACAGCCAACAGACCAATATAGTGTGTAAAAAAAAAAAATACACAAAGATCATCAAGTGAACTGGGTTTACCTCTGGTCTTTGCGTTTCAATCCATCATAGATCATCCTGTCAGAAATGCCTGAAATGTCTACAAAGCCTAATTACATCGCAAGCTCAGTCTCGTATAGATTCATTAATCTTTTTTTAATCACCTTCCATTTTTTATTTGGTTTAAAACAGATAATACTGAAAATTCACTCACATTACAGTCAAAATGGGCTTGTTGTCTACTTTATTATGTATATAAACTTTCTGTAACACTTTACAATAAGATCCCATTAGTTAAAGCATTAACAATGAGCAATACATTTATTACAGTATTTATTCTTTGTTGGTTCATGTTAGCTCAGGACCACTAAATATTATAAACAGTTTTTTATTCTAATAATATATTAATAAATGTTGAAGTTAACATTAACTAAACTTAATAAATGCTTTCAAATATTATTGCTAGTCCTGGTTAATGAATGCTAACAAATGGAACCTTACAGTAAAGTGTCACCAAACTTTCATTAAGCTAACTAGATTAATGAACGTTTTTGGATTGACATTTGCTTGCATGTGGAAAACCAAATGAGATGAATATTAGTGACTGGCAGATGCAGTCACTTTCAATGAAAGTTAATGGCGAAGAGAGCTGTCTGACATCATTTAATGAAACTAATATAGATCTGAAACAACATCAGGAGAATAAACGATGACCATTTTAATTTTGGGGTGAACTCTCTCTCTTTGAATACCATGAAAAAGACCATATAAGATTATTTTGGTTTATACATATATATATATATATATATATACACAGTGGTGTGAAAAACATTAAAGTGTGACAAACATGCAAAAAAATAAGAAATCAGGAAGGGGGCCAACACTTTTTCACACCACTGTATATATATACATATTTTACTATTCAATGTAAACAGTGCAGGTTTAAATGACAGAACTGGAGCTGAATGGTGTGTAACGTCTGAAATGACTACTGCGGGAAAGGAACGGCGAGTCTTTCAACTTACCACCGTGGCGGTTGTTGACCCTGTAGAGGCCGATCCACGCCTCAGACACTGGCCGGGCGTGAGTCCCCCTCACCCGGGCGGACCTGCCTGTGACGCCGCTGGCGGAAGAATGGCGACCACCGGGCAAACGCTCCGAGAAAGTGCGCTGCGGTGCACGGCCTATTTCCTCCCTGCTCACAGGGCCTCCTGGACTGCCATCCTCCTCGCGTTTCTCCTCGGCCCCGTTCTCGTCCGTCGGCGTGGCCTGGCTGCTCAGAGACGGGGACATGTGGCTGTCGGCGGGGCTGCCGTCGCTGCTCGCCTGCTGCCCGGTATCCGAGTCGCTGCCCTCTTCCGACCGGCTGCGGTTCGTCTCCGAGTCATGGTCGAAACTCCCGGAGAACTCCACCATGAGGCTAGTGGGCCTGGTGCTTCGGATTCGTCGACAGGACTCTCTCTTGATGCCATCTTTATCAAAAGGTGTCGAAGCAGCCTCCTCGTGTAAACGGCTCGATCTCGTCCCCATGTTCAACCGCGCGCAGAGCTCGCGCACTCCCTAATACCGATCGATCGATCGATGACTGATCAGCTAACCCGATTACTTCCGTCACAAAGCCCTTAGGCCATATAACTTAACCATATGCCACATTTATTTAAAAGTCGTAAAGTTAGCACTGAGATGTGCTGTGTTTTAATTTCTCTTTCAGTTATGACAACAGCCTACCGCATTTTCCTTGCAGTTATGTTCTGTGGTCCCTGTTCAGCGCATCATACCGGAAGTTGGACTCTTTCCTTCTTCGCTCAACCGACAGTGTGACGTCACGCCCTAAATTAACTTTTTATCCAATCATAGAGCAGGCACATGAATGTTTGAAAAGTATGTGATTTTGTTTCGTGAGAATTAACATTATCTTCGATATGAGTTCTCCACAAGTCAGTTTACGAGAGTATGAACGTCACGAACCTGTGTTGCCTTTTAAATGAATTTTGTTAAAGGATGCAATGCATTTTTGTTGACATTTAATATCATAATAATATTTTATATTTTATAGATTAAGTCTAGAAATTTGCATTTGTTGCTCATTCATGTTTGTTATATATATATATATATATATATATATATATATATATTGGCAATAAAAACGTCACTATACAGTCTTTTCCTCTTTCAAAGTGACAAAAGACTAAACATTTGACTTATTTATTTAATCTTTATATTGGGAGACAACAATAAACGCTTTTCAAATACATTCAATATATTTATATGCTGATTAGTTTCATATCAATGCACTTAGTATTAGTTGTAAAATTATATTAGAAGAATAGAATATTCCCAAAACAAATCTGAAGTGTTATTATTACTGCAGATTAGTCGGAGTCAGTGATGCAAGTCCAAACAAGACAAAGGTCATGTTTACTTTTACTGTATCATGTGGTTCCATATTGCCCCAAACTGTGCAAAATTCAACATGCGCCATAAGAACATTAGCCAGAAGATGTTGGCAGCTCAAAAGACACTCTTATTGCTTTTTGTTGGGGTCTCACTGGCACATGATTTCATTACATCAGCACAGCTAAAGAACATTGAGGAAAGGCTTATAGCCACTGAACAAACACTTACAGAACTGAAGAAAGAGAATTAAGGTAAATATCTCGCAGTAATATTTGCATGAGTTTTCTATATCTACATCTCATCTATTTTGTTTGATCCATTTTCACCTTCACAAAATATATTGATCTGGTGAATCATTTCCATCCCAAAACACAATAACAAAATTCTTCAATGTTCATTGAACAGCTTTAAAGATTTTCACAAAAGCATCAAGTGATAAACTTGAATCTATCCAGGCAGAAAATAAAGGTAAATGAAAATATCTATTCTGTTATGTTAGATATAAAACCAAGTGAAATGATGACAAAACAAAACAAAAATTCACTTACCTTTACAGCCAAAAAGGTTGGCTTTTCAGCTGGACTTTTGGCATCTGGATCACAACATTTTGGACCCTTTGATACTCGGAAAACTCTGGTGTACCAAAAAAACTTAATTAACACTGGAAATGCATATGACCCCAACACTGGTAAACTGTGCTATTCATATTTCTTTATTATGTTAATTGTCCATTGCGAGTATGGATATTCAAGTAATAAAAGGCATTTCTTTACAGTTCCTAGATTCATATGTTTATGTATCTCAAAGGTACATTCACCGCACCAGTGAATGGAGTCTATTTCTTCAGATTTTATGCTCACGCTCACCCTTCTAACCAAATGGCAGTCTGTCTCCACAAAAATAATCAGATCCAATGCTCTGTATTTTTTCTGAACCCTGAGACCAATGCTAATGGCAGCAATGGTGTTGTTCTCTCACTGCAGAAGGGTGATGAAGTGTACACACAGCTGAGGGAGAACAGCTGGGTTTTTGATGATGAAAACAGCTACACCAGTTTCAGCGGTTTTCTGCTTTTCCCCTTTTGAGTGTCCACAGAATCCAGAATTGGATTGAAAAGATGTTTATGCCACTAGTGTTGTAATGATATTTGTGTGATATTTGCCTCAAAGAAAGAGAACATTGTATTATACTTTTCTTGTGTTTTTAACTTAGGTAACCATATGGATTTCATATTGAAATGAATGTATCAATATGCAGTACATTTTCCAGTATGAAATAAATTTTTAACAGCCACAAAAAATCAGTGTGTCATTATTTTACAAATCTTGATTGCATTTCACTAAAGGAATAGTTCACCCAAAAATGAATATGTGCTGAGAATTTACTCACCCTCAGGACGTCTAAGATGTGGATGAGTTTGTTTCTTTATCTGAACAGTTTTGGAGAAATTTAGCATTACATCACTTGCTCACCAATTGATCATCTGCAGTGAATGGGTGCCCGCAGAACGAGAGTCCAAAGAGCTGATAAAAGCATCATAATAATCCTCAAGTAATTCACACAACTCCAGTCCATCAGTTAATGTTTTGTGAAACAAAAAGCTGCGTGTTTAAACAAATTTATTAACACATTTTAACTTCAAACCATTGCTGAACTGTACCTGATAGTAAGCTAGTAGAATATTAATGGATGTTTTTCATGAGGCTAATCCACTCTGTTTTTATAAGATTTATTTTATTCCTTCTTCATTCAAACATCAGAGCAGTAAAAATTCATAATCTGTTTCACAGTTCACACACCACATGCCACGCTGAATTACAGTTAATGTCATTCCACACACCACTTTTGTAAATAGCTGTACAGTCCTCTGCTCCATTATAATCATTCGGCTCTTTTTCCTTCCAGTTGGTGAAAGTTAATGGTTGGTCACTCATATCCACAAAATGCCCTTCTTTCTTTCTGTCTGTTGCACCAACATATACGTAAGTAGACTCAAGGGCAGCCTGCATTGAAGTTAGCACGTTATTCTCATCTTCACTTCTTGGCAGGACAATTTTAGCCCCAGCGTCAGAGCAGAACTTCTGTGCCTTTTCAAAATTATCCACCAGACCATCAGACACGTAATACTTCTGTCCCACTTTCCTGAACGTGCGAAATCCTAGGACTAAACATTAAAAAAAAAAAAAATTTTTTGTAAGAAATTATCTTATAAACACATTTTATAAACATCTTACATGAATAAACAAAATATGTATAGTGCAAACATTTTTTATAGGAAAATTCTACCTTTCTCAACTATAGTGAGTCTGTCTGTTAGGTATTTGACATCTGATTTAAGTTGTAATGCGCTTTGAACACCAGTGCCTGTAAAAGCATAGCAGAGTGAATATCAGAAGCAGAAAATACCAAGAAGTAGCTATATTCTAAGTAGTCTATATGTAACTATAAACTCAAAGGAAAATACTTGATCACAGTAGAGCTTCATTAATTTTACATTATATAATCTCATTATTTATTGATTGTTTGACTGATTTTTTATTTTTATTCTTGCATTGTTTTCAGAAGAAAGAAGATAGACACCAAGCTTGAATAAATGATTTTCTGTTTAATAAAATAAAATAAAATATTAATAATAAAATAATCTATTCACTGTGCTTTAATTTTACCTGGTGTACCTGGATTCCCTTTGTCTCCTTTAGAGCTAGCAACACCAGGTGGTCCTATCTTCCCTGGGGGTCCCTGTGCACCAACTCCTGCAGAGTAAGATTGATGATTAAATCTCATTTCTCAGATCTGCAGTCGCCTTACCTGTCTGCATTATGTTCTACATCAAACTTTATGACTTAACTTAAACATAATACACCAACAACTAAAAGCATAAACCTGGATCTCCCTTTTCCCCTTTTTGTCCAGGAAACCCGTCTCTTCCATCTCTGCCAGGGCTGCCGTTGTTTCCAGGTGTGCCCGGCACCCCAGCATAAGATGGACAACTACTTTCAGCTGCAGCTATTAGCAGCACAAACTCCATTAGGAGCAGCGCAGCACAGAGCTGATGCATTAACAGCGCCATCTGCTGTTCACTGTGGAAACAAGAGAACACGCACCCTTCAGTCCAAAGGAAAATATTTTTACCGTTTATAAAATTATTTTCACTTTTTAAAAATTATTTTCACTTCATAAAAATATAATTTCACTCGGAATATAATGATATTTAATAACAACGGTATTTGATATTATAATTCATATTTAACAAGTTCACAATGGAAAGTAAAAAGAAGGTAAATTAAGAGCAACAAGTGTAACTTTTTCTCTCACATTTTCAATTCTCTATTGAATGTTAAAAAGCATTCTGCCCAACAGTGGTCTCATATCAAAGTTATAAAATACTGAAAACTTGACAACAAAACAAACTACTGACGTGTAGGCTACTTCACTCTTTTGTTTACCGCTTTTTAAAAATCCTTACCAGAAGCATATGAATCTTACCAACAGTTCAGGCCTGGCGATCAGCACTAAAAGAGAACACAAGTGCAGACAACCCTTCATCTAATTTCAGTGACGTAGTTACTCAGATCAGAGTTCAATGACAAAACAAAAAGAAACAAATACTATATCATTTTACAAGTTTTAGATATCTGTCAGTCATATTTGTTGTCCTGTGATTTATTTGCAACATACAATGATTGTTTTTGAACGGAAAAAACACAAACTTTGATTCATGACCTAATTATCGAGGTCAATCAACTTATTATGAAAGGTTTCTTTTTTCAATAGGTGCTCAGAGTTTGTCTAATGCAAATGCACTGTGTTTGAACAGCTGAAAGAACGCCAGGACATCAAATGTTTGAGTTCCTGAGAGAAACTTTTCCAACTCATTTAGCTATCTGTTATATAAAATACACTTTTGGACACTTTAAGTTCAACTTCAACTGTGAAGGGCTCAATTCCTCTGACTGATTGAATGCAGTTCATTATTGGTCAAATTTATGGTCATGGTTCATTATGTATCTTATCAGTATTTCAATTTGGTTTTGATGATGCATCTGTGATATAACATAAAAATAACTGTCTGTAATTTTCCATTAACTTTAACATTCAATTAATAATACAATTACGTAACACACAATATTATCACTTATTATCTTGATTTGTGCAAAATATGTGAACCATATTTAACACTCTGTAATATACGGTCTGTATTGATTTTATTAAGGTGTTTTCCTTGTATTGTCAATTATGCTTTGTATCGTGTTGTGTTTTAGGGTTAAAGGAAACGTCTGTAAACTTAACAGAGGCAGAAAATTACCATTACCTTTGCCATTTTTCTACTTATTTTCTTTCTTATAGTGTAGAAATAATTTGATGAATCCAAATACAGATGTCCAAACACAAAAATACTTGATGTATACTTGATAAGTTTTATACAAAACAACAAGATCCAATGTTTACAATAAATGTTAATGATTGATTTTCTTAGGATAATCAGAGTGAAGCCGTGGCTTTGCTTATGCAGAAGGCAATGATTGTAGCCAAACCAGAACATTTTTACTCACAATTTATGTTTGAAACTAAATAATTGCTTCAAATGCACTCTATGTTTTTATGGAATGTCATTCTATTCACCATCTGTGTAGATGGCAACACAGTCCTCATTCCCACAATAATCATTAGGTTCATTTTTCATCCATTTAGTAAAAGTTAGAGGTTGGTTGTGCGTATCTACAAATTTCCCCTCTATCTGTTTGTCTGTTGTGTTTGTCTGATGCAAATTCACTTTGTTTGAACAGTTAAAAAAAAACCGCCAGGACATCAACCGCTTGAGCTCCTGCAAGAAACTTTTACCCACTAATCGATTTAATACCATCTGTAGATTACCCTACACATTTTCAGATGACGCACTTTTTAGTAAACCTTATGCAGGGCTCATATGTAATTGACTGAAAGTAATTAATATTTGTTACTTAGTGGTTGTGTATTGCAATTTTGGTATCTTATCAATTTTTCGTTTTCTGAAATGTCTGTGGTTTTTAGTTCTGTTAGTTATGCAATTGATGTCAGATTTGCAATGAAATAAAAGAGACACTTTGATTTATGACAAATAATCGTAATAATGCATTTATTAATGTGTTAAAAAAACATTTATGGCAATTATTTTTGTATATTTCATGCACTGTAATTTCTTTTAAAGGATACATTTGACAATGTGATTTAAACTGCATTCTGTGTGCACTGTTAATAACATATTAATATTGCAGATATGCATACTTTTTAATGTGGTATACATTCTATCAGATTTCTATTTCACATATGATGGGATGTAGACCATTACAACCGACATCATCCCAAAGGCCACAGTCCTCTATAACACCACAATCTTGTAGTCCCTTATAGTCATCAGGCTGACCAGGACCCCAGTTGGTAAATGCCAATTGCTTTTCCTCAGTGTCCACAAACCGTCCCTCTGTTTCTCTGTCTGTGACACGAATATACGGCTTCTTACTACCTAAACCACTGGATACTACTAATTTCAATAATGCATTGTTCTCTGTATAGAAGTTCTTGGCAAAACTATTCTTCCACCAACGTCCTAACAGTACTGCATCAAAAGCTGCCTCAAAACCATCAGTGACATAGTATTTCTGTCCAACTTTTCTGAATATCTTAAAAACCACAGACTGGTTAAAACTCACAACCTTCTCAATCATGGCAATCTTGGCATTAAGTTGCTGCATTTCAGATTTTAGGGAGTCAGATATGCTGTCATGACCAGAAAAGCCTGGAAATATAATAATTACACTTAGGTACATGCCTACATGGATGAACATAAATTATCATATAATATAAAATGTTAACAAAAAACTTTTTTTAGATAAAAAAATCAACATTTTCGTATTGCCTGAACCTGTAATTTCAGACAAGGAATTTTCAAAAAGCGAAATAAAAGCATGTAATGTTTAATACCTGGTAGACCTTGGAGTCCTTTTCCCCCTTCTCTCCAGCTGGCCCAGGTGGACCTGCTTTACCCGGCGGCCCCTGCACATTCACTCCTAAGACAGTATAGTAGGTGTGAAATCTCATCTCACTTCATTACACAGTTGGTGAACCACTAACTCACTCATTCACTCACTTACTCTCTTTCACAGACCTGACTCTCCCTTCTCTCCTTTGGGTCCAATTGCTCCATCTTTACCATCTCTCCCATCTCTGCCAGGCAGATCGTTGTGTCCAGGAGTGCCAAGAACTCCACCATATGTAGGACAGTTCAGGTTCTGCGGTTCAGCTCCATCCAACATCCGCAGTGCAAACTGAAAGAGCAGAAGATCCTTAAAGGTGACATATCATGAAAATCTGACTTTTCCAGGTTTTAAGTGCTATAATCAGGTCCCCGGTGCATCTACCAACCAAGGAAACGTGAACAAGATTAACCCAATCACTTTGTTTAGGTAAGCCTTTTTCTGCAAGCTTCTGAGAAAACCAAAGCATCTGATTTCGCTCCCTTGGTGACGTGGCAAAGGGATCTCATTATAATATTACTGCCCCTTAATCTGTAAACTTCAACTCAAGGCACCGTCATTTTGATTTCACAAGCGACAACGGTGTACCAGCTCTAATGCCATGGTGAAAGTTTGAGCGAAACATGCTAACTGTTCTGTCTTTGGCTGCACAGACGAGCACAGAACACTGTTTAGAGTCCCAGCCTCAGAGGAGACAAGACATCGGTGATTTATTGATTTATTTCGGCTACTGTATATCGCTGCTGCCACACAGATCTAAAATAAACAAGGGATTTATTTCCCAGCTGTTTACCTTCACAGACATAACCAACTACACTTAAAATATATATTTTTCGCTGAGATTTGAGTAATCTCGTTGTGTATTCTACGTAAAAACGCTGTTTTGTGTCATGGTTATGCAATGACGTCATCACGCAATGACATCACAATGACATTTAGCAACTTTTAGCAACAAACGGATCTGCCTTTAGCAACTTCCCCTGAAAATTATTTGGCAACACTGACTATCCCTTTAAGCTTCCAGCTACCAAGCATTAGTTTGCCCGACTAATTACTATTTCTTTCAGCTCCGCTGCTGTATTGAGCTGAAACAAATAAGTGGAAGAGCTCACGTGTTTCAGAGTATTTCTTATAGCAAGCTATAACAGTGAGTAGGCGGGTTTCCCCCTCTCTCTTTAACGTTACCATCTGCGCTGCACTAATGCAGACACGTTCATTTGATTTGGCGCTTATGCTTCCAGCTCTTGTTCGTGTACATTTTTTAGACGCAGACTCTGAGGAGTCGCACAGCAGAAGTTATTTGTGCACTACGTTTTTGGCGCTTCGAGCTACCAAACATTAGTCTGCCCGACTAATTATTATTTCTTTCAGCTCCGCTGCTGCATTGAGCTGAAACAAATAAGTGGAAGCGCTCATGTGTTTCAGAGTACTTCTTATAGCAAGCTATAACAGTGAGTAGGCGGGTTTCCCCCTCTCTCTTTAACGTTACCAGCTGCGCTGTACTAATGCAGACACGTTCATTTTATTTGACGCTTAAGCGTCCAACTCTTGTTCGTGTACTTTTTAGACGCAGACTCTGAGGAGTCCTGCAGCAGATATTTTGTCGTGCACCATGGTCTTGGCGCTTCATGCTACCGAGCGTTGGTCTGCCCGAGTAATATAATATTTCTTTCAGCTCTGCTGCTGCATTGAGCTGAAACATTAAGTGGCAAGCTGTTTTAACATTTAATGCTATATGGCTCAGGTTGTAGCGTTGAGCAGATGGGTTTTCCTATCTCTCTCTCTCTCTCTACTTCTGCGCTTCACTAATGCAGGCACGTGCATTTGAATTGGTGCTTACGCTTCCAGCTCTTATTTCGTGTTTTCACCTACATCTTGGATGCCCTGGGGGTAAGCAGATAAACATCAAATTTTCATTTTTGGGTGAACTATCCCCAGTGTTGCCAGCTTAGCAATTTTGTTGCTAGATTTAGCAACTTTTTAAACTACCCTAGCAACTTTTTTTCCAAAAAGCACCTAGCAACAAATTTAGCTATTTTTAAAAAGTTTTTGGCAACTTTTGTAAAGTGACTCAAATGATAAAAAGGCACATATTTTCATCTAAATTACACAAAATGAGGAAACCATTGAACAGCTAGCCAGCCAAGCAGCACATCAACCTGGAGAGAGCTGGAGAAAGATGCCTAACAGTACAAACATCAAATATGCATTGTTGCTAGTTCCAATTGGTCAATAATAAATGCACATTTATGATTAACATTTAATGCTATATGGCTCAGTTTGTAAAGTTGAGCAGATGGGTTTTCCTATCTCTCTCTCTCTCTCTCTCTCTCTCTCTACTTCTGTGCTGCACTAATGCAGGCACGTGCATTGAATTGGTGCTTACGCTTCCAGCTCTTATTTCGTGTACTGCTTTTAGGCACAGACTCTAGGAGTCCTGCAGCGGGTGTTTGTCATACATTATGGTCTTGGCGCTTCATGCTACCAAGCCTTAATCTGCCCGGCTGTTAATTTTTCTTTCAGCTCCGCTGATGCTTTGAGCTGGAACAAATTAGTGGGCACGCTCACATATCTAGAGTAAATTCCTATGGCAAGCTGTTTTACACCTAATGCCATAGTAACTCGGGCTGCAGAGTGAGCAGGGTTTTTCCGGTCTCTACTCCTGCACTGCATTAATTAAGGCACGTACATTGATTTGGCGCTTACGCTTCCAACTCTTGTTCATGTGACTGTTTTTAAGCACGGACTCCACAGCTGACATTTGCCGTGCGCTATGGTTTTTGGCGCTTCATGCTACCAAACACTAGTCTGCCCGGCTAATAATTATTATTCTTTCAGCTCCACTGCTGTTTTGAGCTGGAACAAATAGTGGACTCTGTGCTATGAGCTGGCTCTGTGGAGTTTTGCAACACACATTTGTCGTGCAACATGGTTTTTGGCACTTCAGGCTACCAACACTATTTGCATAACTAATCATTATTCTTCTCATCCCAACTGAGATGCACTGAGCTGAGCTACTGTGTGAATGAGTTCACGTATAAGAGTATCTCTTTTGGCAAGCTATTAATGCTCACCATGGCCAGCCTACTTCATGTGATTGATGCGGCGCTTCTGCTACCAACACTCGCTTCACATGACTGGCTGCATTGTGACTGCAGCATAAAACATTATTGTGCACTAGAGATGCTGGGTGCTTCATGCTACCAAGCAGTGGTTTGCATGACTAATTACTCTGTTCTTTTCAGCTCCGCTGTTGCATTGAGCTGGAACTGTGTATGAATGTGGGCAACCTACAAGTGTGTTTGCCTCTCTATCAGCTGTTCCGCCGCTTGTTGCGTTCGGACTGATTTTGACCGTTCTTCGTGCCTTAGCTTTGGAGATCGAGAGGATAGCCCTAAAGCGATTGGTGCAGGGTCTATGTTGACATCCAAGTTCCCACTCTGTGGTTGGTGCTGGCATGCATGATTTTAGTATCCGTTCCTGTTTCAGAGGTTTTTCCCGCAACTCAGGTGTCTCGGGACCTCATGAGGGAGGATCAGGCTGTCGTATGGTTACACCATCCAGCTTCTATGGGTTGATTGGATTTGCGTCACCTAACCTTGTGCTTGGAGTAAGCAATTTCAAGATGCTGACGCAGAAGTTCATCCTGTCTCTATCTGAACCCGAGATTGGTTTGTGACCATCGATCTAAGGATGCGTACTTCTGCATCCAGATCGTCAAGAGACACAGGAAGTTCCTCAGGTTTGCTTTTGGAATAAAGCTTACCAATACTGTATTCTTTCATTACCTTGACGATTGGCTGATATTAGCTCAATCACACAAACTGTTTGGAGCAGCGTT